AAATCTAGGATGTCAATGACACCGATTTGCCCCCCCAAAAACCCACGGTATGTTCCCGAGAGCTTGCTTGCTTTTTGTTTTTACCTTACCTTACCAGGTAAGGCCCGCTGAGCTGCATCTATATGGCCCTTTTTTCAGAAGCGACCTGGCCGTCACAAATGATAGCTCAACCAAGTGGCTTATCGTGTGGACATTTACAGCAGCCGAGCAATCTAAACGCGTGCTCCGAAATGTGGAGGGGGGATAACCGAAGGCACCTGGAGAAAAAACCACGCGGCCACGAGATCGAATCCATGACCTCCTGCATACCAGGCGAAGGGAGTTGACATCTTGTCACCGTGGCACCGAGACGTGCAACCTGAAATGCGTCGCCAAAGTGCTGGAAGACTTGCAGGTCAAAGCCCTAGAAATTATCGAGACAATTCCGTCGAGCGATACAATATGAGCAGATGCCCAAGAGGTAATGAGCTGCAGCTCGTGTCGAACACATCTTGATAACCTGGAGAAGAGGTCGACCAGGCATCTGAACGTCTGGTAGCAAAGCATGATGACGTAAACTCTGACCCAGGATGCAATACACATCTTGGTCGCTGGCACTCATTTCCCATGGCACCTGGGTCTGTTCCGTGACCTCGTGCCAATCGGGGCGTTCGACACGCGGCCTTAAAAGTGCACCTAGCCTGGCACAAGCGTCGTGGTGACGTCACCGCCACTAAGTGGCGAATGGGGGTTGTTATAGAAAGAGGGGAGATGGGCTTTCTGCTCTAAATATAAATTGGCGGCTACCTTAGGCAGAAAGTGGGGAGGGGGTGGGCCTTCGTACTAGTTGGTCTTGCATGAAGTCCCTGTGACGGTTGCGAATTCCAGTCTGCAAGTCACTAGACCTGGCGAGAAACGGAGTCTTTAATCTTTTCAGACAAGCAGCCATAGGGTTGAACCAAGACTGGGTAAACTTTCGGAGCGCCAATTGGAGGTGAAATTATCCGCAGAAAACCGACGGGCAAGCCGGTCAATGTGATCATGAAATGCGTGCAACATCCGACAGTCCGACCCCTTCTCCGACCACATTGTTCTCTGCCCACGTCAAACTCCCGTGGAAGGTGGCTCGCGATGCGTGCCAGTCCACTGCGTCAATGAATTTGGACACCTTCATGCGCCACGCGCTGAATGCTCTCCAATGGATGTTTAGGAGATGCTGGCGGTTGTCCTGATGACGCAAGTTTTAACTGCAGGCCTCGCACAAGCGGAGGGAGCCCTAAGGAAGTGGAAGTTCTTTCAATGTAGATGCAGTCAGTTTTAAAAGCCCCCATATCTGTACAGTGTCTCCTCTTGACAACAGATGCCCCCCCCCCCCATCTCGGGCAGTGGCCACGATTGTTCCTTGGGTGTATGCATATCACAACGTTCTTGAGAGATGTGCAGCAACTTGAGATGTGGTGCTGTCTTAGCGTTTACTCGTCAAGAATAAACCACCGCGCGAATTCTGGTCATCCTCGCAGCGGCTTTTGGCTGACCATCGAACAAATACGGTGGTCACCGCATCGCGTGCTTTCAGATGCGCTTCTGCGGCCACCTGGAACACTCTTCCTTTCGATATTTAGAAGCCACTGGAGATATGCACTATTAAATCTAGATTGAAAACTCAACTCGTTAGAACTGCTTTTTGTGTTTAGTTTGTTGTTCATCCCCCGCATCTACAATTAGCGCAGTTGGCTATGTACGGTGCAAAAGAAATTCAACATACGACCGTATAATATATCCAACGTTTCTGGTGTTGTGTTAATATCATCGCTGTAAACAGTTGTTGTTCCACTATATCAGCGGTTCTTCACCTGGGGTGCACGCACCCCCTGGGGCTGCGAGATGCCCTTTTGTGGGTATACGAGACATGGCCACATTTTTTTTAGAAGGTAAATAAAACCCCAAATTAAGGACGGGCACCTAAGTACAACTATTTTGTTTCATCACACCTATGTGTGTATGAACATTGTGCATGTTTTGTAACGATTCAGAAGCATTGCGCTCTATGAATACCTCAGCTCCCCCACGGTAAGCGTGATCCATGTGTGTGTACGAGCATGGGAGTCAGTCTAACCATCCACTCTGCGAAACCTCACGGGGGGCGCCATGCATTATTAGCCTAATAACAGGCTGGCCTGCTACACCACTTAACCTCGTGGCCACGCGCAGTGGGACGTTATTATTATTATTATCATTGGAATTTTTCATGTAACCATTATTACTATTATTAGAGTAATATTTTGATTGCAAAGTTTTTCTACTTCAAATAAGGTCTAATACATTATATTTACGCGGGATGTTTTAATGAACTGTAATTTTGCATTATTGTAAATGCCCATTTTTTATTTTGAATGTGTATTAGATTTTTTGGTTATATAATTTTAGTACTATCTTATGCAAATACGTTATGTTGAGTATATCATACGGTGTTAGGTAGTCTATAATACATATTTTTCCGTCACATTCTTTGTATATTGGTGTTTTTGTGGCAATCATCTCATGCAGATTTTCTTTTAGCAAAACCGAGTCGTGTTTATTTTTTGTTAGTTTATCAAAAAGGTTCCTTGTGTTATTAACTTCCATCCACACTCAGATCTCACTGGGTGAACATATAATGTCCTTGGCACTTCCATCACTGGACAAGCATTAAGATCCTCCACGCTTTTCCATTCACGGCCAAAACATGGGCGTCTTCAAAGTCAGTTCCCATGTACAACTCTCAGTTGATATGATGCCGAGCCAAGCTACCCGCATGCGAGTTTCCCTCTCTACCCATCTTTAGCTCTCGTTCGCTCAAGCAAAACCCTTTGCTGATCTGTTTGGAACCATGCCAATAAAACACTGTCATATCAGTTTTTTTGACGACTAATTCAACATGCATTGCCAAGGATATCACACAATCACAAAACCTGTACCCCCATTGTGCATTATTATTCTTGCTATTCCGCACGGCAATTTTCCGCTGCAATGTCATGACGGTTCCCGAAGCGAGCACATGCCGTGCAGCTTCCTCCAAGCCCCAATAACATGTCTTCACAAAGGACGCTATACACATACACGCACCATTAAAGTCCCCCCCCCCCCCAGTCTTCACCCCCCAACACCCTCCCTTCATCTCTCCAACCACCCCCCTCCTCACCACCGAGGGCACCGAAGGTCACACGGGCTCAGCGGTAACCCGAACCCGACAAGATTTCATCATTGGGGTGCGTTTTTTTTCCACAGAAAATCATGGGTTCGCCCAGTTACAAACACCCACGAGGGGTCGGGTGTCGGCCCGCAGACTCGCCGGCACTCTGGGCCCTTATTACATATATTACATTCTGTGGGAGACATCGAGCCAACGGGGCCTCGTTATATAAGAGGGCGTCTGCGTGTTCACACGTGGTGCGGGATTCCTCCTGTACGCACAGCGCGCGCGCGCGATTCACAGAGAAATGCAGCGCCCAGCAACGGATGGCGCATTCCCGTGCAGAGGGACCGTAGGGGGCAGTGGCGGCTGGTGATATTTATTTTTGGGGGGGCGCATTTTTTTTATTTTATTGAGGGGGGCAAATAAATATAAAGCAGTACCAAAAACCATTTTGACTACTTTAATATAAATTTTGATGATCTTTATTTACATTTCAGACCAAAAGAAGTACCAAAAAGCATGTTTCCTACTTGAACATAAATGTTTCTCTTTTATATACATTTCAGACCAAAGTACCAAAAAGCATGTTTCCTACTTGAACATAAATGTTTCTCTTTTATATACATTTCAGACCAAAGTACCAAAAAGCATGTTTCCTACTTGAACATAAAAACGTTAGTTTCATGCTATTATCAATATGGCTGCGGCTACTTTCATGACGTTTGCATTTGTCAGAGAGATGTTTGAGGTCTCTTACCCCCGTCGTTGTCCACAAAACTTCAGTGCCGACACTTTGAAATAAAAGACAGGGAAAACAAAAAAGAGAATTGCTAACATCACATCCAGCCAGCCACCTCCGTTTCTCATAACAAGCGCGGGTGAAGCTTCGTGTGTAGCTTCGTCCTCTGTCACTGGCCTGCTGCTGGATTGTAAATCGGGTTGGTCCGGTCCGAGATCCTTTATCTTTTTTATTTCTTCCAGCGAAAGCCTTGTGAAAGGGTTTTTTTGTAAATAAATTACAGAATTTGGATGAACTGCTGCCATTGTTTACACAAAAAAATTTGATCAGCCTAGCAAGTGTCAAAGTGGTGTCGCCTTCGCACTCGCAGTAGTGGCCTACAGCGTAAATTTGAATGACAGGTGACGAGAACCAATCAGATTGGATAAAATAACATGTATCCAATTCTGATTGGCCAGGGACGCAACGACTTGCGCCCCGAGGAGAATCTTTAAGAAACCAATTAGAGACCAGCTTCAGGTCACATGCTGTCCGAAAATGTAAAGTCTCACATAGACATCCATTTGTCCGGCGCCCCGCATGAAACACATTGAAAAACATAGAAAATAGTTGACCGATTAAAGCCAGTTTTATTAAATGCTGATGCTTTTCTTACTACCAGCCGGCACATCGTATGAAAAAAATATTTTATTTATGTATTTTTATATAAATTTTGTATACGTATATTTCTAGAATATTGATGGGGGCGGCGCCCCTGCGCCCTCTATTGACGAGCCGCCACTGGTAGGGGGGATGACACGTGCCCACAGTACCTGGGAAACAAAAAACATTGGACAATCCTTCCCCCATCTGCGTGTCTCGGGCCCTCTGCTGCTTCTGAACACCGTGGCTTTTTAAAAGACGTTTATTTCAGAGGCATGGGCAAAAGCCACCTAATTGTCACGATGGTAGCAATAGGGGCAAATCGACAAGTAGTTGTTTTGTGTCACTCCATCAAAATGTAAATGTAGCGCCTCAAGTGTTTGAGGCTAGGGATATACGGTTATAGTTCTAATTTTGCTCTGGTGGTGGGCCACGAACATCAGCCAAGCACGGTAATTTATTATAGTTAAGAAGGCAGTTTAGAGCCCTTGGTGAATAAGAGGACGTACCAAGTTGTTTATCGTTGATGTATTTCACGTGCATACAAGCACGAATTCAATTATCAACCCTTTCAATTAAATGGGCATCCACGCTTGATTAAATACACTATAGTGCCTTCACAAAATGAAGGATAGCTGGGAGAGAGGCTCACACAGCAAATGCAACCATGAATTAAACCGACTGCCATGCCATTCATAAAGCCACTTGTGCATGTCACGATTTCAAGGGGCTTAAGAAAGACATGAAACGGCGGTTTCTGCGTTATACATCACTTTATTAACCCCCACCCCCTCCAGCATAAATACATTACAGTACTTACAGTACATGACAAATGCACTTACAGTACATTCATTGAAGAGCCCAAAATGCGAGCGTGGGGTGAAAGGGGTCAGCGGTGCACAAAACGTCCAGGAAATCCAAAGTGCGAGTTCACTGCAGTCTGCCGATGCTGTCAAATCAGTTTAACAACAAAAACGCCCTTCGTGTTCCAATCAGCATCCCCCCCCCTCCCACACCCCCCCAATTATTACAACTTTACATTAGAAATGTGAATAGCCTTTCGTCGGGAATATCCTGGGCTCTCCTGCTGCGAAGTCGAGGAAGTTGAACATGTGAGCCTACAACTCTTTAATGGGATGCGTTTTGTTTGTTACAAGGTTTTGCCTCTGAGGGTGTCATCAGTGGCTCCTGCCAGTGGCCCAAAAACTATTTTAAGAACAACCCCTTCACGCAGCCAAGGCACTGGCCCAATCATGTTCCGCTGGTCGAGCAGAGAGCCCTCTGGAAAACCAAACCCTGTGCCAATATTCCGAAATGCAGATTCCCCGCACATGACATGAAAACCTTTGATATCTGAAGGACTAAAAACAAATCTGATTTGGCAACACTGGCTATTGTTGACCAGTGGGTGAATTCAGTCTGGACAAGACACGTGCCGCACCCACCAGAGATTCCTCTAAGCTCTGCACACACTGATACATGGTTTTGGCATTGGCGATGACTTTTTGTTGCAGCTGCGATAAAGTTTGTACGGTGAAATCATCAAATTTCCCTTTTGAATCCATCTGACATCCCGCTGAGATATAACACCTCTTAAAAAAGACCTCAGCAAACGTACAAAGACCACACACGGTCCTGCAATTATATTTTTGTGATTAAGCTGCATATAATAGTTATTTTTTTACTGCAGTATGTTGGCATTACATACAATGCCCAAACGATTACACATGGCGACGTTGCATGGTGCAATATACGACACAGTCTGGCAGTGGCAACAACCGGCATTAGCCAGTGGTTGCCGTAATAAGACCATGGGCACAGTGCAGATGGGTTCCATGGAGAATGTATTCACCACCAGCCCATCCATTCGCCTGAACCAGCAGGCTGCTTCCCCCCCCGCCGACACTTTGGAGCAATATTGGGCTATTAAAAATGGCTTATTCTTAAAAGTAACTGGTTGCAAATGTAATAAAAGCCTAACAATTTATGAATTTCACGAGTAGAAAAAGATTGGAGTTTTGACAGTCACATGCAATTTCACACCACACCACCGATTTATTTCACCAAATTATATCTGAATCCAGCGCTTGAAATTATTGAACTGTCTCCAAACTATGTCCATATTCATTCACGAGTTAGTTCATCAATGGGAATGAGAAGCAACAGCTGACTCGAGACCTGAAGCGCCAAACATGTTCCACTTTTGTCCAAAGTCAAAATTGCATTAAAAGACTAAGTGCTGAAATTCATGTGAGGCCAACATTTCCACCTCACTTAATCGCATAACATTTGTATGCTGTTTTGTTGTTGTTGTTACATGACCTAGAGTTAGCAAAATGTATTTCCAAAAGGGCCCCAAGCGGGGCATGTTCTGATGAAGCAGCCACGTGAGTCAATCATCATACGAGTCCATTTGCGATACTGCGGCACACTCTTTAATCATATTGCTTCTGCAGGGCATTCCTTTCCAAGCCCCCCACATCATCGCACTCGTTCACCTTCTCCTTCCTGGTGACACTTACTGCTCTTGCTCACTGTTCAATAAAGACTAGACACATCCTTTCCATCTGGAACTCTGCATTACGATTGATCCCGTTACACATTCCTTCTCTAGGCCAGCCTGCTTCTAACACTTATTTCTTTATTTATGTTGCGTGTCATTGTACATGTAAATATTTTCGTATTAATGCCACCCTCATTATATATGTAACCCTGTATAGGACAGTAAAGAGTTTCCAGATGCTTCTGCAATTCGATGGAATGTACAACTAAACAATAATGAATCGTAATTTCCAATCCACTTAACAAGCAGATAAGAATGGCTGATGCGGCAAGATGAATCGTGTCTGAACTTCTTCAAATCTACCAAAAGCAAAGTTTTTATTAACAGCTTGAATATGTAAATGCGTGTTCATTGACAAAGTTAGTCTTGCATAGGGCACACAATGTTTGGCCCTTTGGCCAATAAGGGGGCAGTCTTGTCCCGAGCACTTACGGAACTGATCAAGGGTGAGAGGAAAGCCTCACCACACCCCTTCCCCCCAGATGCACAGAGAGCGCCGTATCTGTGCTGCACACTCATGTTGTATGGCCAGCATTCCACGTGAGTCCTGCACACTAGAGCAGATATCCACAACCACCTGTGATCCCTCGCCGTTCAGATTTCCACGATTCATGGAAATGTCTCGGCTGATAAAAAAAGAAATACGTAAAGCTTCATCGCGTGAGATGGAGGGGATGGTGGGTGCGCAAATGCATTGTTTTGTACAATTGTAAACAAATGAGCAATTTATATACAGTACAATTATATTCACACTGTGCAAAAGAACAGTGCCACAGCGTGACCTCCAGGCCTTCAGGGGTCACGAACAATCCACCTCCCAATTCAACCGACTACATCAGAACCCAATTACATGTGCACGCTCGTTACAAACAAAACGTTGTACCGTACCTTCTGTGCAAGGGCAGGGAAATCAATGTGGGTCTTGTGTGGTGCCCGTGATTTTTGAAGTTCCCAAACCAAGTGTTCGCGCACGTACAAGTACCTTATATACATTGTTTGTTAATTAAACATGTGTCTATATGCACAGAGCAAGTGCACGTAACATGTAACATCATCTGAACCCTTGCATAGGTTGCCACAAGCCTGCGTGGATTCAACCTAAATGAGAGCATGCAAATTCTTAACGACTCTGACTCTTCACTGCTATCCTCAAGACCTCCGCCCGAGGTCCATGGCCCTCGCTTTTACTGTCTCCTCCCTTCTACAAGATGTTTACAATGCATGTTGCCCACGCCACGTGGTAACCAATAACAAACCTGCACCGTGGAAAATTGTGAGTGGCAAGGCATGGGAGGCTATAACCGTAGATAGGAATAAAGAAAATGATGGTAGAAAACAAGAGCAGATTAAGTCTTTACTTTACTTATGGTAATTTCTTTCACGAGAATCACTTGTTTAACATATTCATAACTGGGCTGGACCACTTCAGCCCTGTGACCTGGAGCACGGATTTGGATAACATTCATTATGCAGATTCTTATGCACTTCACTACCCCATCATCATCATCCAGACAGCTACTAATCACATTTCATCATCAGCCATGTTCTCTCCACCGATGGATGAAGGACCCCCACCATCCCCCAATTTGTCACCACACCTCATGGTTGTGTGATGCCACGATCCGTCCCGCTCCTACGCTGAGCTCAACTCATCACCCCATGTGCGCAGTTCTCATCTCCGGGGGCGTATCCCCTCCTTTGGCTGCGATTCAGTTGTTAGTCTCGACCACCGGCTATCATCCCTTTGAGCAACGTGCCCTTCCCAATCTTACTTTCTTTTAACAGTCCCTAATTTGCACTTGTTCTCGGATCCACGTGTTCTATTTTCCCGTCTATCAGTATAATTCACAGAATGCATTTCTCCTTCCATCCCTCCTCTTCACTTATGTTTCAGCTTTTGTACCATCTTCTTAGTCACAGTCCTTGTTTACAATTCCATGCCGTGACAGGCGATGTGCAGTGATTCCAGCCTCTCTTCGATAATTGCCTTGGGTACACACGCTCTGTTGCGTTTTCCAATTGTGGCCGTCCGCAACAACTATTGTCCCTTTGTTCCACGAAACTTGTCGCACGTGACTTTTGTTTCGTCTCATTCATCTTGAGCCCCACTACTTTTCGGCCGTCGTATGAAGTCCTTCAATCGTTTTCTGGAGTACACTGCCCTTGATCTATATAATGACGACGCCATCAGCAAGTCTTATATAATATGACGGCTGTAGCTTCAAAGCTTGACTGTGGAGCTGAGGGTCGAGGGGAAGTTATGAGCAGAGTAGTTGAGGGACCACTGTGGTTTTGGTCTGATACAAGTGGGGTTTAGCAACTTTAGATGGCATGGGTCACAGTCTACCTTTTCTAATCTGCCCCATCCACTTGCAACGACATATCCGCGGACGCAGTACGTCACCACACCCGTCCATGCGACAGAAATGCGCTGATTGGCGCACGTGACCCCGGGGCCTCTGGTTGTATACCTCTTTAATTCAGAGCGATCTCATGCCCTCCGTAGGTTCGCAATGTGATATCAACAATATAATAATTCCCTGGAAGTGCCTCACAAGTGATTGACTTTCATTTTATATATGCACACATTTACAATTGCAACAATATTTTTTTCAGATATTGCTCTATATCTCTATACAGAAGAAAAAAAATATCGTGTTATTATTCACTGTAAAGCAATACTTTATATATATGTTGTACTGTATATGCTGTGTTCATGCAAGAACGGGTAAGTGCCACCATTCTCACGACCTCCCTTTGGTCAATTTCCACCACGTGGATTACAACTCTTTATACACGACTCCTGCGAGGAGCTGCGCACAGCCGACGCGATCAGGGGTTCACGCAACGTGAGCTCTACCGCCGAGAATAGCGCCCGAAGTGATTCAACTAAAACATTGACATGGGTGGAATGGGAGAGCCGGTGACCTCAAGGGCGGCGCGAGTGCATGAGATCAGAGGCGAGTCGGGAGGGGGTGTGGGGGGTGGCGGTGCGGAGAAGCTGAGTGCGCGCCTTGGAGGTGGCGACAGGATTATCCGCTGAGCGGCCGCAAGTCGACCCGCACCTTCTCGTGGCAGCTGAGCATGCCCACGGTGGGGAAGAAACCACCGGGAGGCACACGGGCATCGCGCCTGCCCACCACCTTGCCGTTCCGCGTGAAGAATACCTGGCCGCACAAACAAAAAGACAAAGATCCCCCCCGCACCCTCATATAGCCTCAACAGACTCTTGGGACAAGTGCTGTATTGTTTGTTGTTGTAACGCTCTCACCCGCCCCTATTGGACATCCGTGAAAAATAACTTCACAGCTCATCGGATTATTCTAGAACAAATAAATATTCTGCTTATGATTCTGAACTCCACCTTCAAGTCACTATTTCCGAGTGTGAATCATCTCCATACGTGGCACTTAACATTGAAGTCCGTAGCCAGCCGTGAGCAATGCCGCGCTGTGTTTCCGTACCATGACCTTAATGCCGGGTGGCTCTGGGTCCTGGTCTCCCTCGCCGTCATCTCCATCTCCTTTGTCGTCCTGCTGCCACTCGACCCGCCTGTCCCTGCCGTCTCGCTCCTCCTCCTCGTCCTCCTCCTCCTCGTCCTCCTCGTCCGTGTCGCTGCCGAAGGTCATGTTGTCTCGGGGGAGTCGGGGCTGCCAGATGTCGACCGCTTCCTCGGGTTCTGGGTCCACGGGACTCACGTTCCACTCCGGGGTGCCATCGCTGTCACCTGGGAAAGGCGCACAAATACGTAAGCATGCACAAATATTTATTGGGAATGTTATAAAACAATAATGAACATTGTGAGGACTCAGATACAAACCAAGATGCCCTTGTACTGACAGTGGGCCACGACGAGCAAGAACGTGGCATGGTCTCGCCACACACGTGCAAAAATGCGGAACCACAAGGAAAGGTGGGGGGGGGGGACCTTATCATTTATATAAATGTGTTGTATATGGATGTTTTCTCAGTGCAATGCAGACAATGGAGCATCCTCCACTCCGTGAAGAGGCGTCTCACATGCGGGAACGCTGGATCCCAAGCATCCCTTCAGCCAGTTCGGTCGAGAAGCTGGACGGGCTCCGGTCCCCAAGGGGGCACGACGCTTGGGCCATAATTGCGTGAGATTATGTTATCTGCAAAACGAGCACAGCGCGCGATCGGCGCCTCATTGTGCCAGATTTAAATTCCTTTAGGCTGAACGCTTTGCTAAAATTACCGTAAAAATTAAGCACTTTGGTCCACCCCTCCTCGTACTCACCCCATTCGCCCCTCCCCATATCCCCCAAAACCCTCAAGCCTTAGTCAAATGGCCCCCTCAGGATACCTCCCGGCACCAAGTGCGACTCGCATCAAGGCTAATAACCAGAGGGGGCAGCCGCGCGTCGATTAGGTGCGTTCACTGGCGTCACTTCACGCGCATACGTGCAGGCGTACTGGGAAAGTCTCCCCAGGGACAGGGGGGCGGTTGGTGTGGGTGGAGGGGAGGAGGGAGATGTGTAGAGGGCGAGGGGAGAGCTGTGGGGGGGGGGGGGTGAGGGGGGGGCGGCATGTCCCGTTTGCGAGGTCCCATTAAACGATCCCGAGAGGGCACGGCGATGAAGGCGAGCTCTGTAGTCGCTCGATTGCGGCCGCAGCGCGCGCCGGCCGCCCGGCCCTCGGGGCATGGGGGGCAGACGCTACCGCGCCGCGGCTGTATCAGGTACTACATAATAGGGGAGCGCTGGTGGCGGGGCGAGCGGCTGGGTGAGGGGGTTGGGGCTGTGTGCAGGCGGGGCAAACAAGGGGGTACCTCTTTATAGAGAGAGAAGGGGGTTGGGTAGGGAAGGGGGCAGCAGGAATGCACAGCCTCTCTGCTAGAGCCATCGCCTGCGCTGTCGTCGGGCTGGATGTGCGGACGCAAACAAAAGCTGCCAGCGCTGCTGTGAGGCAACATTGGCTGTAAAGATGCATCTGTCAGCCTCCTGTCCCGGTCTTTACATTGGCCCGTTTAAATTGCCCTTCTCTGCCTCATCTCTCCAAAAATGTCAGTGCCCTCTTTTTCCCTGCCATGTCTGGCCTGCCTATTTGTCTTGACTCCAGCGACCTGGAATGGTTAAAGACACCAAAATTGTGTGTGTGTGCGTGTACAAAAATAAAAGTGAGAAATATGTAGCTATCAAGAAAATACTACGTGAAGTAGTTATTTATACTCATACTAGTTATTAATGTAGGGAGAGGACCTAAAACACACAAAAACAACTGGAAAAACAATTTGAAAAATGCTGGCCTCACGCATTATTGTCTATGGCGTGCTCTATCCCTACATTGCTCTTTCTCTATTGCTCCCTCTTCTTTGGTCAGTTTTCCACCTTCATGAGAGAGTTTCAATGTCCATGGCGTCGTGGCGCCGTTGGTCAGCTGCTTGGGGGCGAGGGTCAGGGAACACCGCTTACCCTCACTGTCCAGCTGGTAGTCGCGCGGGAAGGTGATGCCACAGCCCATGATGTCGCCCTTGGAGCAGCGGGGCCCAAATGCGTCGCCGATACCACTCCCGTGGAATATTTTACCATCGTCTTGACACATGCAAGACACACGTGCAGCACACAGACGCACACAAACATGGACGATTATCTGTCTTAGCCTTATAGACTGTTGAAGCGATTTCTTTCAGACCGAGTCAGCCTTGGAAAGGACCAGGCAAGGTTCAATTATGAATTGTTACTTATGTACGAAGCAGTCCACGAACCCAGACAATCGTGACATGGGAAAAAATACTGCACGCCACTGCTCCTCACGTAAGTACGTGCGTGCGTACGCACATGTACACCGCACACAAACCCCCGACCCGATGACCTTCAATTTTGCAGCATCAAGTTGATGTCGTGCAAGGCGTAACAACGGCCTCTGTAAAAAACAGGTGTTGTGAATCCCTGGCACTTGAACCCAATCGATTCCGAGCAGGTAAGGCTGCACACATTAGCCCACATGTGGCTGAATGAAACAACTGCAAATGTATAAAAAAAGAAAAATCACTCTTTCCAGCAGGATTCAATTACCTGCACCTGGGATGAGTATTATATGAAACAAAGAGCTGACAAAACTGTCTATAAAGCAGAACATACTCCCTGCCAATCATCCCTGATATAAATCCAAGATGGGCAACTCCAGACATCGTGGGTCAAACACAGGCCATCTGTCTCTGTTTACCGATCCATCTCTCCTTGCCTATAGGTAGGGCAAAAAGCATAACTGCAAGCATCTGTTGACTGTTCAACCGGAAGAATATTACCGTCTGGCTCGTAAAAGCTGCGAATGTTCCCATCCCTGTTGCGATCATGACAAATTGTAATTTATTTACCCAGGTTAATACTCGCTGAATCCGAACACTCAGAAGCATCCTGCATTCGAATGTTTAGCCCATTAATTTTAAGGAGTGTTGTGCATTTGGGAGAAGCTCGGGGTACATGGAAGGCGTATGCAACTTATATTACAATTTATGATTATGTTTCTTTGCTCAGGAAAGCCTTACTGAGTCTCATGACTCTGTTAGGGAGGGTCCTGCCAAATATTTGCAGTAGGCAGTGACTTGTATAATCCAAATTGAGTAATATGCGGGTGATATTTCATATGTGGATGATATTTCATATGCAGAAAATGTGGACCATAAACGCAGGCACACAATGGCCTACTCTTGCGAATGCCATCACGGGATCCTTAACATCCATCGGGCGTCATACCACTCACTCAAAGGTCAGCACTGATGGGTTCAGGAACCCACTTGCTGTACTTTCATTTCCTGACCACTCGTAGCCCAGTGGATTTCGGAGTTTCACTCATCTATGTAATTCATCAACCTCGAATCATCAACCAGGAATCTGCCTCATCAGCAGAACATTTGTTAAGGTGATGTATGTATGTTGAACTTCCTTTGTACCGTACATAACCAACAGTGCTAATCGGAGGTGCAGGGGAAGGACAACAAACTAAACACAAACATCTCTAGTTTTCCATCTCGATTTAAAGTGCATAGCTTCAGTGGCTTCGTAATATTGGAAGGAAAACGATTTCAGACGGCTGCAGAAGAGCATCTGGAAGCGCGCGATGCAGTGACCATCGTTGTTAGATGGCTATCCAAAAGTTTGATGAGTATCCGAGAAAATGTATGCTGGGCATGCCGAACGTGGGCAGTCGAGCGAGGGTGTGGCACGTGGAGAAGAGAGGCGGCTGGGAGATGTGCGGGGAGACGTGAAGAAAACCCAGCACCTGCGCGAGCTGCTAATCCATAAATCACGGTCATTTTCAGATTTACGACACGTGTTTAGGTAATCGCGTTTGCAGGCTCACAGAAAGTGCTGGGAAGACAAATGGTACCCTTTGTGTGGCATGTCTTACAACTTGAGACGGGTGGTGGTGTGTGTGGTGATCACACTGACCGGATGCAACGTAACAATCTCCACTTACCCCTACGTTCAGGTGTCTGTCTGTCTACCTATCTGCTTGTCTGTCATTGTGCTCACCGTCTATCTGGCACTCAATATAACCATCCATCAATACATGCACGGAAACATCCAAAAGGTTGCAAGTTCTTCACAAGGCACGTACTCACTGCTCCATTCCTTCCCGCAACAATTTTCAGAAACGTCACAATTTGGGTTCACGATACCATTAAACCAAACATCCACTGTCGCCACGGTTTTTTGACAAAATGTGTGCGTTGTTACATGCCTCGTGATTATCCTGGAAAATTATTCTTCGCTGCAATCTTAGAGATGCTCCATTGCCCAGCTTTCCAGTCGGAATAAATGTAATACCGGAATAAATGTAATAAAACATGTATATATAATTTGGCTGATAAATAGCAAGTTCACCCACAAGAAGAGAAGCAGATGTGGAAACCTGGGGTGTGGTACAGGATGTCCCTGTGCCCTTATTGGCTGTTTTAATCACGTGATGCCAAATAACTGGGAGACTTTTAAAAAAGATTTCTGCAGAGATGGAAGCACAGTCAAGGCAGCTTTTCACAATGGCATGCAACTCCGTTGGCCGTTTAGAGAAATGCCCCTTCTGTTGTATGTCAAGCAAAGCGTGCCATTGCTGCAATCATGCAAGTGGCCAACATAATTCTGAAGACCTTCCTGCAGTTAACATAGGTTCATAATAACGTCATGTCTAAACTGGTCCTGCAGCAATTGCGCCGAGATTAAGTTGGCCCTCGCCGACGTTGACGGCCCGTAAGTGCCCCGGCTCCGCCTGGCCACGCTTCTTCGCCGGATGGCCCGTGGCTGGGGAACGAGCAGCTGTCCGCAACCTGCTGGACTATCCAGCAAGCGAGCAACAAGAGCGAGTCTGCAGGAAGCTTAAGGGGGCCATTGGCTCATCTCGCTCTCTCTCTCTCTCTCTCTTTAACAAGCCAGCTGCAAGAAACAGCTGCACGCTGGCGTGAAATGTGCTCGATCCAACCACGCAATGGGCACCAATGCGTCCAGCGGAGTTCTTTCCGTAACAGGAGGCGACTCAACAAAGGGCATCCTTTCCCAGTCGCTCCGATCCATTGCCATGATTAAGCAACGTCTCCGCCCCATGCTAAATGCACAATGCCAGAGGATTAACTGGAGACAAAAGCAAAGAGGCCAACAATCCGTACCTGATGAACGGGGTTTACTTTGCCTTCGTCTGTGCACACCGCAAAGGTCTCCACTGAATAAAGTTTCACGTGTTGATTTGTTGTCGAGAAGCTACTCGCTGTGGGAGAGTGACTCCTGTTAATGTCTCAAAAGACTGCCACAATTGACGCACAAGTTCTTAGTCACGAGCGTGAGTTCACTGTGACGCCTCTCCCAGTGACCCACCGTGGTCCCACAAACCTCACTTGACTTGCGCGCATCACTCATTTTCCTTACAACAAAGACATCGACTCTTCAGTGCCTCACACACTCAATTGCCCCTCTCTTTAATGCAGCTGTGAAAAGGTGAGTCACTTGGGATGAGCAAGTGTGGCACTTGCGTAGGATAACGATGATTCATACAAAAAGACTAAATGATCTCCCACTCGTAGCCTGAAGAGAGCAAGACGAGCGTGGTGAGTAAGCAACTTTTACGGCCGATGCACGTCACGAGAATTTGTGGTGGAGTGGGCAATTTCAAGGGAAGCCAGCCGATATAATTTGAATTAGCTTTCAAATAAAATAAAACGCTTGGAAGTTGCTGCTGCGCAGCAGAAAGACAGAGGAGGGCTCTTGAAGCCTTAAAAAAAAGAAACACGGTTTTGTGCAAGGACTGCAGGAGTGTCGCCTTCGTGGGAGCTGCCCTACTTGTCTCGCCCCCCAAGTGGCATCTGCCCGCACCCATTCTGCTGAGCACACAGCATCGTTCTTACCGCGTGCAACGAGTCGGCTGTCCGTCGGTTTGGCTAAACGCCTCCCAGGCAACCTTCATCCAGATTACTCCGCATCTGTATCTCTGAGTGTATACAAGCATGTGCTGCGCGAGTTGTATTTGTGTTGACTGCTGTATATGAGTATCCGGTGTGGCTTGTGAACAGGAGCCACGACTGCAAATGCACGGATCTGGTCCCATAAATAACTTTCCCCAATAATCTAAAAAGATATGCCTCCGTGTGTGTAGCTGTATATCTGATCAGGGGAGCGGTGGAGCAGCGTTTAGCACGCTACGCTCCGAACACCGCAACCCGAGTTCAATTCCCGCTCACGGCAACGCCAGTGACGATTATTTGAACCGGTCCAGGGCCTTCCCTGGGTCGACTCGGCCTAAAATGAGTACCTGGTGCAGTGTGTAAACATCGCCAGTGGGGAGACAAAGGCAGTCACGTGTGGTGCCGGACACCCACCCCCTCGTGTGCTGTGGCAGCCTTCATCCATGCTCGCTGACAGCACTTGCCCCAAAAGTGTATTAAGGATATGGGTGGATCTTTGTCTTTGTACATATCATCTTATTCATTTAACCTGCAACACCCGGGCCTGTTGCCAGCGAGCCTTAAAGTGAACCTAGCCTGGCACAAGCGCCGTGGTGACAAGACCACCACTTATTGGTCAGTGATGGTTCTTTGTTTGCATGCACATGCATCAGTGCAGTTGTACATGAATAGAACTGAAAGCCAAGCATTTGACCAGTTGCAGAGCAGTGGAATGTTAAGATGAATGCAGGCGTTCGCAATCAAGTGATTCATCAGTGTGCATGGCCATGAAATGAAGTTCACACACAATACAATTAGGACTAACATCAAATATAACGGAGAAACAATCTAACATGCCAGTAGCAATGTGCATGCGTGTGTACATGTCATGTTTGCACGTTAATTGTTGATGCTTATTTAAATGTGCTTTGCACGTTCACTTCATATTTTTACAGATTCAGTCATATGTAATTCGTATGTTTATTACAGCTGTGCACACAAACACATATATATCCATGCAATCGATAAAAGCATTCATATGCGTACCATAAATAATGTATTCATTAATTCTAAACATGATGCATGCCCTACATATATTACACATATATATTAGGAATGCATATGGAATGATTTGCGTACATCAGCCACTGCCTGGTCTGC